AAGTGGAGGTTCCTTCAAGCGCACCTTGGCTAACCGTTGCATTTTAGACGGATGCGACTTTTCAGCGGGTGTGGTCGTGCATCGCGTGGGAAAAGATCGCACGTCTACTTCGCGGTGCTAATCTCGGATCTCTCGGCCGACGTCACACGTGAGTATCGTCAAGTGAAAGCAGATGTTTCGCCTTGTGGACACTCTCTGCTTTTCGATACGATGTCGCGCGTTATCTGAATATCGCCAGCCGTTGGGGGGATGATAATATATTCTATTTGCAGTCGATGACCGCGATGACGAAATCTCGTCAAAAATTGTCGGGGGGGGGAAAAAAACGTCTTTTTTTAGAACGTGTACGCAGATGCTTTTAAATATCTAAATCCGCCGCGTACTTGTAATAATCTTGCTCACGTAATTGATCGCAAGATATCGTGAGGAATGAGAGTTTTTTAAAAAAAAAAAAAAAAACTTTGTCTCAGAAAAAAGATACGCAGCTCAATCCCTGCCCATTGACATTCGATCCTGACTTCTTCACTCTTAATTAATGCTACAGAAAGAAAATTGTCAAAAAAACCTATCGGAAATCTGTTGAAACTAGAATGACCTGAGTGCGCTTTCGAGTGAAAGAGTATGAAGCCATTTAGATAAATGTATTTTAAGTGGTCGTCGAGGAAGATTGAATTAAGCTGGATGAAGGAAGGATCGAACGCGAGCGTGTGAGTGAGCACGTCGTGGTTACTCGCGCGGATACATCAATAAGGGATTAATCGTGACCGTAATACCGACATACCAGCGAAGCTCGAAGGCGCGCACAATTCCGGAGCGGGAGCTTGCGGTGCATTCCAACGGTACACACGTTGCATGCTGGAGCAGTCGGGACTGCGCGACTGCGCCAGATGACAGCCGGATGCAGCTTCATCGTTTTACGAGCTTAGCTGTGTAATTTGCGCGCGCCACGCGCCACACGCACGCGATCAGCAGATCGCTGTACGATCGTCGTGCGAACGGACGTACTACTTGCGGAAGTGCAGCCCCGATCCAGCGA